ATTTACACCCAATGGGACGACCCACTGGGGATGTAGGCTTCAAAAGAGGAAGAGAGGCTTGCTTCTGAACTTGACAGTGCTGATACCTTCCCTGCTAGGAAGGCCCTGGGAAAAGATGGCGTCAGCTATCAAGGTCATACAACTTCCATGGAGAAGTAACTTAGGTAGAACCCAGGTTACCCTGAAGTTTAGGAAAGCTTTCACACTGCCACACAGATGATTTGCACAGGCTGCATAGGATCAACAGGCCCAAAGGGAGGTATAGTGAAGTGGGAAAGTTAACGTAGCTGGCCCGACACTAGGCAGGCAAAGATAAAGTCCTCTCTAGCAGTGGAGGAGATTGTTGTCCCAATGTGACATGCTACAATCAATACCAACAGGCTGCCACAGGGCACAGGGAGGGATCCTTAGCTCAGGAAGCCTCTGTGTGCCCCATGGCTGGCTAGCTGCTGTGCAAGTGCATGGCTTTTTGCCTCTTCTCTTGCAGTCAGCTTGCAGAGCTCAGGCACACTGCTCCTCTTTGCTTTTTCTGCCATGCTGAGACTCTCCCCTCTGGGTGGCTGGATCTTCTTCCACCTTCTTCTAGAAGTGTTGTCCTTGGTCTCCTGTTGCACTTCTTGCCGTCTCTCATTATTTTCAGACTCAACCATGCCCTTGGAGTAATGGGTCAATTCCCTGGCCTCACTTCTGAACTTGAGTTCTGTGTTTACCTTGCCTCCCGTATGTTCCCCTCAGGGAGTCTGTCTGGCTGTCTCAAGCTAAATATGTGTAAACCTGAACCTGTCTTCCTCTCTGTTTCATTTTTCCATCCATGGCATCAGCTTCTCTCACGCACCCTGGCTCAAATTCTGAGTCATAGCTGACTCCCTCCCTGTTCTTTCCTTCCCAAACGCAAGTCTTGCCAGCTTCCTTCACAACATCTCTGACAGTTCTCCGTCCTTTCCGTTGTAGCTGCTGATCGAGGGTCTCAGCACCCCACGTCCTGAACGTCTTATTAATGTTTTCCTTTTGGTCTTCCTGCCTGCAGTGTCTCCCCACCTCCCAGTCTTTTTCATACCTGTCCAGACAGACTTTCCAAGATGGTTCCTTTTGTCTTCTCTCTTCTGCTCTGAAACCTTCCCACCAGCACTCTCGCTCCCGTAGGTACAGTCCAATCTCATTAGCCTCAGGGTCTGGAGCTTATTCTTGGCCCCAGCCTGCCTCACTGGTATTATTGCAGACTCTGGGATCAAACCTCATGTGCTGTGTGGCCCTGGTCAACTACTTAACCTCTTTGTGCCTGAGTTTCCTCTTTAAAAATCATTGTATTTGAAGTTTTATAGTTGCTTCTAGTACCTAGACCGGTGCTGAGCACACATTAGCACTGAGATGCTGGCTTTTGATCGTGCTGGTTCTCACAAAAGGCATGCTGCACACGGCACACCTCACCCCTGGTCACACATGGCAGCCCTTCCCATTGCCCTTGCTTAGCCCGGTCCCTTGATCTGGAATGCCTTTCTCTGCCTGCCAACTCTTGCTCATCCTTCAAGAGCTGTGTACCTCCACTTCCTTTGGGTAAATGCTTGCTTAGATAATTTCTGCAGCACTGCTAAGACCGAGCTGGACTGTGGCAGTTGTGTCAGAGGTGCATGAAACCAGCCACAGCCACACCGGCACATCTTCCTGGAGGTTCATTTTACTTGATAATAAAGAATTTCATTTATTTTTATGTTAAAACAACTGTAAAATTGATGGATTTTAAAGACAAAACACAACTAAGAACATTTTTTTAATTTTTAGTTTATTTATATGTGCACAACTGAGAACATTTAGAAAGTCTGCATCCATTCCACATGGGCTAGTGAGGTGAGGCACGGGTGGTGCAGTGGGAGGAGCTGTCTTGCTCTAGCTGGGCTATCAAGGAGGGAGGGTCCCAGTAACCCCAGCTGCTCTCTCCTTCTGGAGAACTCCAGCTTGGAGTCTGTAGCACTCTTAGGTTGCCCGGGGGCAGCACTTGTATTACATGGTTTTTTAACTTTTCCCATATGTAGGCCTTATCTCATCACCACCATGGTAAGCATCTGCAGTGCAGGTGTGGGGCAGCTGGGTGGGAAGACAGACCTGGCTGTGAATTCTGGCCCTGCTGTTTACAGATTGAGCAAGGCATTTTTCCCCTCAGCCTCAGTTTCCTTATCTAACTGGGAACGTGTGTGCAGTGCTCAGCAGAGCAGATGGCATGGATAGGCACTTAGCAAGGATCCCCTCCTTCCCAGCAGCGCCAGTCTTCCAGTGAACATCTGCTTCTCCAATCATCCCATCCCCCAATTACCCCCTCCCCACGTGTGCTGCCTCCCTCCCTGTCACAGTGAGTGCACCTACGAAAGTCCTCCTCTTCCTTCTCACTCGTCCTACAGCATCACAGCCCCTCTGGGGGACCACTCTCTTCACTGTGTAATTATGCTGCAGTGCTCCTCCATCTACATCAAAAGATAAAACACCAGACACAAACCCTCCCTCTGTCCCATACCCTCTCTAGTTACCACTCCCAATTCTCTGCTCTCCTGAAAGGACTGGCATGCTCCCTGTTTCTACTTCTACTGTCACTCCAGACAGATTCTCACCCCATCACCCCAAAAGCCTGTGCTTATCAAAGGCTCCAGAGACCTTGGCATGGCAGAATTCATCAGACCGTTCTCAGGCTGCACTTTACTAGTGTCTCAGGAGTATCTGAGGGGCTGACACTCTCTGTCCAGACCCTCTAGCCCCTCCACTCTCCTGATCTCCCTCTTGCCCTACAGGATGCTCCTTAGATTCCCTGCTTGCATGCCCCTGGCCTCTGACCCCCAGGGCTGTCCTCGTACCATTTATTTCTCTCTATACTTGGGAAGTCTCATCCACTTTCCTGAGTTTTATCTATATACCTACATACCTATCTACTGTCAAGTTGTAGACCTGAGTTCAAACCCCAGTACTGCCAAAAAAAGGAAGAAAGAAAGAAAGAAAAAAGTTAGAGATACGGGTATCATTATATAGTCCAAGCTGGCCTTGAACTTTTTTTTTTTGGTACCAGGGCTTGAACTCAGGGCCTACACCTTGAGCCACTCCACCAGCCCTTTTTGTGTTAGTTATTTTCAGGATAGGGACTCTCAAACTATTTGCCTGGGTTGGCTTCGAACTGAGATCCTCCTCATCTCTGCCTCCTGAGTAGTTAGGATTACAGGTGTGAGTCACCAGCGCCCAGCTGCCCTTGAACTTTTAATCTTCCCACATCAGCCTCCTAAGTGCTGGAACTACAGGCATGAATCTGGCTCACTCTTGTGTTTTTAAATGTCATCTGAAAAATCCCCAGTTATATCTCAAATTTGTATATCCTCAGAACTATAGATTTACACCCTCTACTCTCTGCATATACCCTCTACTGGGATATGTCTCAACCACTTCAAATGCAACATGTCAGCTGGGGTTGTAGCTTAGGGGTAGATCTCTTGCCTAGCATGAGTAAGGCCCTGGGTTTTATCCCCAGCACCACACACACACACACACACACAAACAATTCAACATGTCTAAAACTGAACTCTTTTTTTGGTAGTACTAGGGTTTAAACTCAGGGCCTTGTGCTTGCTGGTAGGCAAGCATTCTACCACTTGAGTCATGCCTCTAGTCCCTAAACTGAACTCTTTTTTTTGGTGGGACTTGGGTTTAAACTCAGGGCTTTGCACTTGCACAACAGGCGCTCCACCACTTGAGCCAGACCTCCAGTCATTTTACTCTGGTTATTTTGGAGATGGGATCTTGCTAATTGTTTGACTGGGCTGGTCCCAAACCTCCGTCCTCTGGTTCTCAGCTTCCCACGTAGCTAGGATTACAGTCATGAGACACTGGTGCCTGGCTAAACTGAACTCCTGAACCACAGCCCCCTTCCTATAGTTCTTCTCATAGCACTAATGAGAATTATGTTTCTCCACTCAGTCTGAAACCTATGGAGTTATCCTTGGCTCCTGACCCATAAATCCTTTAGTCAAGATCAGTAAGCCCTGTTGGTCAGTTCTCGCTTCAAAATACAAAGAGCATCTGTCACTTCTTACCAGCTCCATCTCCTTCCTCTGGACCAAATCACTGTCACCACTCATCAGGCCAGCTCCAAAGCCTCCTGAGTGGCTTTGCCACCTGTCTTCCCCCAGTTCCACAGTCTATTCTCCACCCACAACTGCAGTCATGTTTTTACAACATAACTTCAATGATGTCATTGCTTAAAACCCTCCAATGTCTTCCTCTCTCACTCAGAATAAATTCCAAATTTCTTATCATGGCCTGTAAGGCCCCATCAGACTGGCCTGCTACCTGTCTGGCTTCATTCTCCACTGCCTTTCCCTTACCCCTGGTGTGCCAGCCTCCACACTATTCATTAAACAGGCTGGAAACACTCCTGCCACTGGAATTTCTACTTGTCATTGCTTCTGTCTGGAACATTTAAGCAGGTACAAGCCTTATGCCCTTACTTTCTTTAGGTCTCTGCTCAAGTGCCACCTTACCAGAGGACCCTTCTTCCCCAACCAGTCTAAACTAGCACCCCAGTATTCCCGATTCCTTCTGATCCCATGTCTTAATTTCCGTTACCACTGATTAACCATTTGACACAATTTCCATGTTTGCTTTATCTCCCTTTTCATAAATAATAATACTCCATTGGGACCATTGGAGTAGGTGGCCAGCAGCTGGGCAGAAGACATGGTCAACACCATGCCTTCTGGAAGAGCCTGATGTGCATATGACCTCGTCTCTGAACCTCCACTTGCCTGCTGTGTGCCTTTGGACAACTTCACTTAACCTTTCTGAGTTTCAGCTTCCCTCTCTGTAAAATCTACCAGGAGGTTTTTTAGGAGGATCAGAAATTATATACTTAAAGTACCTGAAACATGGTCAGTGCTCAATAAGATAGGGCCTAAAAAAAGCCCTCCAGCCTCTCTAGGCCTGTTTCTAGGAATGTATATGTAGTAGTGTCTCTATTGGCTGATACAAAGAGATAATGCCATAGAAGGACTTATGAATTCCATTCTTCAAAATGCTGTGCCCTGACCCAGAGGTCCCTAGGCATTGCTCCCGACTCCACTCAGTTCCCTCCCAAAGCCCTTCAGAATGTGGCTGCATCTGAGCAGGTCCTCCAAGTTGACTCTCCCCAGCCCTGCTTGCTTTGGATCCAGGTAACCCTTGATGTGGGAAGTAGAGATGCTTTCTGGACATATGTAGGCCTCTTTTGACCTTATGATCCATGGCCTCATGGATTCTCCTCTGGCAAAGCACCTATGTTTGAGAGGTGGCCAACGCTGGGCAGGCTAGGTTGGTGACCAAACCTATCAGGTAGGTTTTCCCTAGCTGGTCAGGAAAGGTGACTACAGCGTGGTTTTTTCCTATGTACCACCAGGGGGCACCAGAGGCTGTCCAGCTGTTCCCAAGACTGTCTAAAGGCAGGAAAAGGGGTGGTGCAGGCTGTCCTGCACCAACTTGCTGTGGCCTGGAAGCCAAACCAGGGCCACATTAAGGGACCAAAGGTCAGGATTCCAGGCTTAATGTTCTTTATTGTAAGCATTAGTGAACCCTTGTCCTGTGAACTCAGCCAGTCCTGCCCTCAGATGCCCAAACTGAGGTGGCGAGTGCATCTTTGACTCTTAAGTCAGCTGCCTGTGTCTGGCTCTGTGTCAGACTGTGTCCAATTTACCACATCACAGGTCAGAGAGGGGGTGTGTCAGGCATCAACAGGGTCAAGGCCAGGTCCTTATTCGAGGGACCACTCTCCATCTAGAAGATGCTCAATTGAAGCCTGCTGGTGAGACAGACGGACTGGGTCTTGGAGACCTGCAGATTCTGTCTGCCAAATGTGTCTCCAGAGCAGAGCTGAGCTGAGCAGCAGCAACCGGCTCTGAAGTTCATCCTCAGGTTCTTGGAGAGTAGCAGGAGTGCCAAGGGCAGGACAGCCTAGGTGGGGCCTCAAAGGGGATAGAGGTGCCAGAGGCTGTGGAAGACAGGTGGGTGGAGAGAAGCATCAGAGAGAATCAGACTTGATTTCACCAGCCAGTTCGTGACTATTGCCTATAGTTCTTGGTGAACCCCTCAGCACTAAAGAGGTAGTCCCTAGGGCCCTGGGTGCACCCTCTCCTCACCATTAGCTCACAGAGATAAGAATTATTAAAGCTAACTGCCCTGAACCAGGCACATCTTGGTGAACCTTCTCAATTGATCAGCAAGGTCCCTCAAGCCTGTGCCCATTTCTCCCTCAGAAAAAGGGACAACCCTTCAGGCCAGCATGGTGGTGGTGGCTGGAGAAGGACCTTCCAGGCCTGTCCTGACCTCAACTGGAAGCGGGGGTCTCCAAGATGGGTCTTCAGCACCTGGTGCACCTCGGGGGGGGGCTCCAAGCCCATCTGCTCTGCCCGATGCCAGCGCTGCATCCGTGTTATCCCTGCCAGTGTGGGAAGAAGACTCAGGGGTCTGGGGGGGGGTTGGCGAGGAGCTCAGGCTAGAGAATTTGGGGTGGGGGGTCTTGAACGCCTCCACACCCCTCCTCCAGTCTCAGGAGACAGTGCTCCAGTCAGGTACGTACTTGGGTCATTTCTGAGGTATGCAGGTAACAGAAGTGGCTCAGAGAGTGCTCAGTGGCGGGGGGGCGTTCTCACCTGTGCAAGGACCATACCGCCAGGCCAGGTCAAACTGCCTCAGCAGTTCCAGCGCCACTTCCTCCTCGCTGGGGGGTTGGGGCTCCTCCCCTGCAATGACAGCTGTTCCTCAGGCCTGCCCAGGCCTTTGCCCTGCCCCCGCCTCACAGCTGTACCAGTTTCTCAGCTCCCTCCCAGCCCCAGTGCCTCTGACATCCTGCAGCTAGACCTTGGGTCAGAAGCTTCCCCTTCCATCCGCCCTTCCCCCACGTCCTCTCTGATCCCTCAGTGTCCACTCCTCCTGCCGCCCCCACGCTTCAGAGACCTAGCTCTGGTGCCAGCTCCCCCTTGTTGTGCCCAGCGAGCCCCTCCCTCTTCTTCACAACAGGGTAGGAGTCGGTGATGAGCCGCTTCCGGCCCATGGCGGCCACCCAGGCAGGCGGAGAAAGAGACGACTACGGGAAGAAGAGACAGGCTAGCCGGCGCGTGAGACAGCTGCTGAGAGACAGTGAGAGAGAGATGGGCCAGAGAAAGAGAGAGAGAGAGAGAGGGCCAGCGGCGGGCAGACAAGATGACCCAGACAAGCAGAGAGAGGAAGTCGCTGGGTTCCAGGGAATGACGCGTGTCCCCCACCCCCACAAGCACGCAAACATCAGAGACCTGAGCGAATGGCAGGCCGCCGTTGCGAGGCGGGGCCCCGACTCTAGCCAATGGCAGGCGGCGAGGGGCGGGGCAGCTGCTGCAGCTGTGCTCTGAAGGAGGCGGGGCTAGGCTGGGGGTGGGGGACGGGAACCTGTCAAGATGCCCCAGACTTCACCATCTCCTCCTGCCCCTCATTGGGCTAAATGGGTCCCCAGGGACGTACAGAGCGTTATCCTCAGCCTCTCACTTCCCGTTTTTCCTTCCTAGGCAAATGTTCTTTTCAGCCTCACTAATCCCCGTGGCCGGTTTGTAAGTCCCCTGTGCCCAACTGGAACCTTTCACTCTGGCCCCTTGGCTGCAAAGCACTGTGGGGGCAGATCTGGAGGTCCAAAGAGAGTTTAGACTAATCCAGCCCTTTTCCTCTCTGCTCGCACCCCACTCTCACCGGCCCCAGGAGAGCTGGCTGCAGAACCCGGGGGGAGGGAGGGCTCCAAAGGCTCCTTTCTCACAGTCTGCCCTCAAAGACACCACTCACTGCTAGTCCAGGCTGTCACTTGCCTTGTTGGCTCTTCTGGGGTCCCACAGCCTGCCTCTGTTCACTCTACTAGTCAGGAAGATTTCACACCTAGCAGGAAGTCAGAGCACTTACACTTACAATGTGTTTGAATCCCCAGTTCTTCATTGGCAAAATTTTCTGCATATGAACAGAAAATAATATCAATAAACCTAAAAGTCATATTCTACTTAGTATGTTCCAAGTACTGTTCTAAGCATTTTCCCACATAGTAACTCAAAATAGATGTCAAAATGTTTTTGAAAGTAGGAAGTATAGATAAATTATGACCACAGCTGTTAGTAACAGGCATTGGGGAGCCCCAACTAAACCATGGACCCTCCTTGTGCCCCAGGAGCTCACAGGCTTAGAGGGCAGAGGTATGTACAGTTGTCAACGCTAGGCTGTAAATCCTAATGAAGAGAAGCCTTTGCTAGAACCATTGCTGAAGAGATTAGCATCTGAAGGCCTCCTGGAGGAGGTAGACTTCTGTAAACAGTGTCTCTCAATTCTCCACCCATGACCTTTGTCCCTTGGGCTCCTGTCATCGCTGACTCACCCCTACTACTGCCTCCCCCTCACCAACTTCCTGGCAACAGGCAAAAGTGCTGGCCAGTGGCAGTCTGGGAACCAGCACTGGGATTGGCCCAGCACTAATCACCCTCTGGAGGTCCCATCCGGTTCTTTATTCCAGGGGTGCAAGGGCTGATGTCTGCCTGGAGGCCTTTGCCTTCCTCCTTCCTTGCTGCTCTGGGATCTGGGTTAGAAAGAGGGCTGGGCCCTGATACATGTGGAAACAGAGGGGACCACCAGAGGGGAAGAAGCCGATCTCCTCCTGCCTTGTTCTCCCCATCAGCTTCTGTGAGGAGGGCTAAGGAGGAAGGAGCTGTGGGCCCACTGCACAGAGCTGGAGGGCCCTTCCCTGCCTCACTGTTTGGGCAGGGCCAGGTCTGATCCCTCTTCCCCTCCAGCACCCATCTACTTTGTGGACTAAGTGGGACCCACATCCACAGAGAACTCTGCAGAGTTGGGGAGGACAGCAGGGAGCCCTCTTCACCAGGCTGAGAAGGGCATAGTTAGGTGTTGAGTCCAGTCAGGCATTGAACGCTCGGTGGCAGAATGGTGCCCAGACTCTCTGGGACTGACCGCCCCTCCTGAAGACCCTCAGCAAGGAGCCCCCGGACTGTTCCCAAAGGCATGTGGCATCCATTTCCTGAGTCCACAAAGCTGAGAAGGCGCAGGGAGCCATGGGTGGGACAGACCCCTCCTCATTCCTGGTGCCTCCCACCCATGAAAGCTGATAGCCGTGGGGCCTGCCACCGCCCAGGGAGCGTGAAATGGGGTGTGCCGCTGGATGGCCACAGTGGTTCCTACTGCTGCCTGGACCTATTTGCTTCCCTCACTTGGCAGCCTCCAGCACCCTGACCTGCTCTGTGCACTCTGGCTGGGCCCTCCCTGCTCTGCCTGGCTTGGGCTGGCTAGTGTCTCTCTCCCAACCTGGTTGATATCTCCTTCCAAGTTGATATCTCCTTCCAGCCTCCCTGCCCTGGGCCCCAGAAAGAGAACCAGAATGGTTAGCCCAATTGCAGGAGCCCCAGGAGCTCTAGGACTGACTGGCATTCCAGTCTGAGGTGGGGGAACCCTCCCCAGGGCAGCAGGCATCCTTTAGCCAGACAGCAGTGGGACTGAGTCCCAAGAGAAGAGTTGGTACCCAGGGGATCTCAAACCATCCCTGCCCACTGGCATCCTTTCCCCACTTGGCATCTTAAGGTGCCCTGGCAACTGGACTGGCTCAAGGCCTGCTAGCCTCAGGTCTTTTCCTCCCTTCAACTCCCTACCCTCATCTGTCTCCTATCCCTTTCCTGCCTAGAACCCCTTTCCCTACTCAGGCAGCTTCCTGGACCCATCCCCAAAACTGTTCCTCTGGCCTGTCACAGTTAATGTCAGGCCAGGGATCTGAGTGGGAGACTAAGTTCTGTCTTCTATGGGAAGGGTCCTGAGGCCAAGGAATAGGCTTCTTGTGTCAGCCCTGATACCTAGAGGTTTGCTGATGGGACTTGCAGGAGTTACCTTGGGGAGACAGGTGCTCAGCACTGCACATTTCCCTCCACCAGCTCACAGTGGGATTTGTGGGAAGATCCAGGTGGAGCTGGGAAGGTAGGGGCAGATAAAGGGAGGGGAGCAGCTGCCTGGGGCCCAGCAGGTTGTGGGGAATACCAAGCTCTCCTTCCCTCTCCCTAGCAACCTACTTGCTCAGGCCCTCAGGCCCCACCAACAATCTTGAGCTGGAAATCAAGCCACTTAGGGGATTCTGGGCAGCCAGATTAACACATCCTGGCCCATTCTGTCCCCTGTGGACCATTCTTTCAGGAGCTCCTCCTAGTCCCTCACTCCAAAGTCCTCTTCATGGACTTAATGAGTGGCAGCTTGGAGGGAAGGAGAAGTTCTCTTGGGTCATTGATGTCTGCCCTGTCCCCACCCATCTTGCACACCAGCTCTGGTCACCTTCCTTTTTACCTTGGCCATCCCATCTCTGGAGAAATTCTGAAGATTTGAAAAGGCTCTGATCTGGCCATTCCTTACATTGGCCACCAGGTGTCAGACTTTGCCCAGCAGGGAAGAAGATCCTAGTTAATCAGTACCCCCAACAGCCAGGTCTTAGAGGTCAGGGCAAATTGAGGAGAAGCCTAGAGGTGACCTCTGAACTAGCAAGGCTGAGGAACCCTGGAGGTTGAGGCTGGGAGAAGACTTGAACTCTGACTCGAACGCTTTCTCACTGCTCCCACCACCCCACTGACAAGGGCTTTGTTCCCTGCTGGGAAATTTGGGTGTCAGTCTGAGTCAGGGAGCTCAAGAATTGAAGGGACAAAAGCAGAGACAAAGGAAGGGACAAAGGGAACTGAAAGAGTACAGCCAGGCCTGAATCACTGGCTTTTGCGCTCTAGGCATAGGGGAACAGAGGACCTCCCTCTGCCTTCTTCTCCACTTGGGAGCTGTGGCTGTGGTGAGTGATAAATGTGTGTGTGAGATGAGTATTTGAATGAGCCCCTTGCAAACTGAGGTTCCTGGATGTTGGGTCAGTCTTTGAAATAGCAAGAAGCCGATGACTTGCCACCTCCCATCAGAGTTCCTCTGTACTCACTCCCTCCCTCCTCTCCCAAGTGACCTTCTCCATATTGAGCTTGTTCTTCCAAACACAGTTAAATTTCCCAACACCGAAAATGATGATGAGATTTTTTAATATACACATGCTTTCTGGAGATGACAGAAAAGGGCCTTCTTTCTCTCCTCCCCTCCCTCCTATTCCTGGGAACATAGGCTTCTGGACTAATGCCTCCACCCCGCTGACACTGCAGAGCCCTAGGTAGTCTTGACTTGTATGGTGGTCTTTGGATACCTGGGCTTCTGACTCTAAGGCTAAAGGTGGAACCTAGATAACCAAAGGAGCAACTGTGGACAGAAGACCAATGACAAGTGCACAGGAAGAACTGATAACCCATCATTTACCTGTTTTGTGGTGCTGGCATTTCCATAGATGGGGCTTACACCCCCACCCCGTCACCATGATTAGGAGTTATTTGGAGAGTTCAAGAATGCTTCAAGCTCTGAAGTGAACTCTGATTTTGGCCTCACCCATCCCCATCCCCTGTTCCCCATGGAGCACTTTTTTGGTTTTTTTTTTTGCAGCACTGGGACTTGAACTCAGGGCCTCACGCTTGCTAAACAGGTGCTCTTACCACTTGAGCCACTCCACCAGTCCTCCAGTTCTCCTTATATGGGCATCTCTTCCAGTCCATTCCCTGCCTGTTTACCTGCACTGTGCAGCCCGGAGGCTCACAGTTTAATACAGTTTCTAGCATTCTAAAGTCCCTTAGCCCTTGATTCTCTGCCTTTCCTGCCTTGCCAGTGTTCAGCCTTGGAAAAATGCCCTCCCTTCACTCTGTCCCCACCCCTGGCCATCTCTGGCTTGGCAGAAAACGTCACAAGCCATGCTGAATGGGTTCAGGAACAAGATGTGTCTGCTTGATCACCTGGTTTTCCATGTGGCCGTTCAGCAAGCCTTTGAATTCTCTCTGCTTGTTTCCTAAGTCCACTCCCCAAACCTCTCCATTCTCCAGCCACCACCTCCTCACTCAGCAACAACATGTTTAGGTCTCTTCTATTTAAAAACATTAACCACAAAACAAACAAAAAGCCTTCCTTTATTTTGTCTCTTTACCACCAAACTCTGAAGGAATATATTTAACTACTTTCTTTCCACTATGTCCTTCTTTTGCCTGACAATTTGGTGTCTGCCTCTCACTGTCTCTTTCAAAGGTTTCCTATGACTTCCTAACTTCCCAAGCCAGTGGATTTTTCTCTGCATTCTTCTCTCTGTTCCTCTGGAGCATCTGAAACTGTTGACAGCTGCCCCTCTCTTCTCTCAACTTCTAAAACATGCTTATCTTGAACTCTTTAAATCTTTTTTTTTTTTTCTTGTGATACTGGGGCTGAAACTCAGGGCCTTCACCTTAAGCCACTCCATCAGCCCTATTTTTTGTGATGGGTTTTTTCGAGATAGGGTCTCAGGAACTATTTGCCCGGGCTGGCTTCAAACTTCTATCCTCCTGATCTCTGTCTCCTGAGTAGCTAGAATTATAGGCATGAGCCACCTGCACCTGGCTAAGTCTTCAAATCTTTACTGTGCCAGGCGTCATGCTAAAACACTACCAGGATGTGCAGATGAACAATCCTAGAGCCCGCCCACAAGATGCTGTCTGTGTGAAAAGGAGACTGCATGTTTCACTAACCCAGTCCTGCCATTTCCATCTGTCTGAAGTCTGCCCATCCTCCAAGAACACTGTCAACTTCTCCCTTGTGCATTTATGCAAAAGGTGACCACTGAGCACTTCCTGTGTGACAGGAATAAAATACAGCAACCCAGGCACCACTTCCTCCCTTAGGGCCCCCAGCATAGGGGATTTTAACCTTATCAGATGTAGTCCCTCCTTCCTTGACTTCCATAATATTTTGCCAAGGTCTGTCTTTCTACACTTAATCAAATTCTGCCCTGTATGCTAGCATTTTGGGGAGGTGTTCCTATTCCCTTTTCTAGATTGTTTTGTTCTACACGCTAATGGAACCTGAGCTGGGTGCTGGGATCTCAGTTTAGGACAATGTAAATTCCATGACAGCAGGACCCTCATCTTATCTTTCTCCCTCATAGCCCCTCGCTTAGTGCTTTGCACATCTCAGGCCACAGCACATTTTGTCTATATGTGGAGATGGTCAGATATACTCTCTTTTATGTCTTGTTAGGCTGGGGATGGAGAAGGACAAGGCCTATGGATGCCCATGGCTATGCCTGGGCAAATGTCTTGGGTCATAGAAGTGGGACATTTTCCACTTGGGCCAGGTGACTCTAGAACATTCCACAAAGGCTGGCTAGGCCACAAGCAGGTCCAGTAGCTCCTATACCTACACCCTGACCCTGTCATTTTCAGAGGCTTAAGTATCTGTGGGTACCTCTTCCTTTACTTCAAATGTGTGTGCTTTTGTGCCTATTATTTTAAGGAATCAATTTTCCCAAGTAGATTTTGCAATTTACTTTCCATAAGGGCAGGAGCTAAGTTAGATCTTAGACTTCTTTTGACTTTCCTACACCAGTTAGCACAGCGACATGCAGGTATTTAGTTTAGGTCTTTGAAATATCTGTCAATTCACTGACATTAGTTACTTCCTTGCTTAAGGAATTGTTTCCAGGAAGTCCTTATAAAATATCCAAGTGTTACCTGGGAGCAATTAAGCAATTAATTTGCTCAGTGGCTCTTAACCAGAGGGTCATGGCACACGGACTATCTCTAGTAATGTGTAATTACTCCAGCTATTGCTGCTACAGTCAAGCATCCTATCTTTATTGTTTCTGTTACCCTTTCTAACAGTTAGATGGGAAAACTGGACACTAGAAAGCTTTTGTTTGTCTGAGCTCATTCAGCCAACAGGCTATGAAAGTAGAATTGAGCTTAGGCCATCCCTCTAATAGCATCTGTCCCATTCTCTTGCAGTCCAGTAAGAACTCTTCTCTTTCCCCCAAATATGCTGTCATTTGTTGGAGAGAAACAAATGTCATAGCTGAGGATGTGACCTGGCCACAGTCCCTTACCATACCTAGGAGAGGAAGGATATTGATGTGTTGGCACTGGAAGGCAGCCACTATCGGGTGTCTGAAGAAGCTGGGAACTAATGCTTAGGGAGAGCCCCAGAGGGGCAGATGAATAGCTATGCTCACCAAGTGCAGAGTGAGGTAGAGGGGAGAAATTCAAGACAGATAAACAGATCTGGGAGACAGTGAAGCAAGCCAGAGGCAAGGAAGACCAGGCAAACAACATGCAACACACAGAGCTGTCTGGGAGGACAGAGGGGGTACAAGGTGTGTACATCACAGAGGAAAGAGAGCCTTTTCCTCAAACCCTGTGCACCTCTGTGGGGTGAGGGGACAGTGGGTGCCAGGCAGGCAGGACCAGGAGCACCAGCAATGTACCTCAGAAGGAGGGCCAGGCCAGGCAAAAAGACTGAATTCTGGGGCAAGCATTTTATTTGTTAATACAAGAATAGAAATTCTGCAATAAATATAATCTAATAAATAACATCTCCAAATAAATAAATATTAATACAACAAACTTAGAGTCATGAGTGGGTAGGGCTGGGGGCAGGGCCTGGGGGAGCGGCCTCCTCCCTCCCCACAATGCTACTGCAATGTAAACTTTCAGGAAACCCTGGGGCTGGAGCTAGGGCTGCCCTCCCCAGCCAGGGCAATCACAGACGTCCTGGGAAAGGGGGCAGAGAGAAGGCACCATGACGCCGGCAAGAAAATTCAAGGCAAGGTCCTGATGCTCAACATGGCTTTAGTTTGCTGCCCTGTGCCACCAGTTGCCCTGGTGACTGCTGGGTCTGGTCTGTTTCTGCCTCTCTCTTTCGGTATTACCTCTTCTGGTCTCTAGACCACCTCTATTACAGATGCTACCCCTTCCATATTCATTGCATCGCTTCTTGTTTAGACTTATCGCCATGTTTGTTTCCTGAACTGGATGTGTACTTATTGGGGTAGAGGAGCAACACCCATCCAAGGAGAGGGGGGCAGCCAAGGGGCTTCACCCCCAAAGGCACATGCTACAGTGGCCTCCACCCCTGCCCTCCAGGTGTGCTTCTGCAAGTGCCACGTGAGGGGCTGGGTTGGCACTGGCAGGTAATGGGCAGGAAGCAAGAGGCAGCCTCACACCTACTTGAGCCTCTTAAGTGTTACCTCCATGGAAACGGGTTGGTGCTCATTGCACCTCTTCCCCAGATCCATAGGCCTCTGGGAGCTGGGCAGGGGGTGGGGCTTATCACACCACCACCACCTCCCATCCAAGGAGCTCCTGCTGTCCAGCTCAACAAGTGTTGGCATTCAGGTTCCTCTTCTCCCAGCATGGGAGCAGGGCTTGAAGGTGGAGGTGGGGAGGTGATAAAGGTAGGAGATCAGAAGCCGTGGACCTCCAGATGCAGGGTGACTGCAGCTGCTGGAGGTTGTATCTTCTTCTTTAGTCGGTTGAAGTCCTTGGCTGAACGCCACAGCCAGGTCTGCAGCTCCTTCAGCAGCCAGAAGTCATCCATCTTCTGGAGGAAGTCGCTGTGGGCAGGGCCAGGGGACCACGTGGGCTCAGTCCCAGGCAGAGGCTGGGGCAGTGGGTAGCCCAGAGCTGCCATGACACCTGCGATGCTGCCCAGCAGGCCCTGGAGGCTGGTGCAGAAGTGGGCCAGGCTGCGGCGCAGCTCAGCTGTAGCTGCCTGACGGTTGAGACCACGCAAATAACAAAGGAGGTGGCTGTAGGCCTCATAGTTCTGGGTCAGCCGCAGTTTGTCATTGAGGCTTCGCCACACTTCCAAGTTGACAGTGGCCCTGGGCAGAGTGTCTGCCCCCAGCCGAGGAGGGTTGAAGTCTGGCTCATTGAAAGGGGGCCCCAGGTAGTTCAGCTGTGAAAAGGAGAAGGCGATGGGCAGGAGGAGGACAGAGCAGCCAGCTCACTGCCAGGGAGATACCTGCCCCCAAAGCTTCTATTGCTCATGTCCCCTGACACTGGCCCTGTCTCCATGCCAGGCCTCTCTGTTCACAGGCCTTCCCTGAGTTCCTCCAGCAAGGATGTCATTTGCACAGAGGTGACAGTTGAAGCAGTGGAGGTGATGAGCTCTTCTCATGGAGGGGTGGAGAAAGAGAAAACCACACAGGAGCCACTCAGGAAGGATGTGCTGACCAGCTAGACGGCAAGCCTTGGGAGAGCACCCACTATAGGGCAAGGCAGAGAGGAAGAAGAGCCATGAAGAGCAGGAGGCTAGGCTGGAGAGGTAGAAGTGGCCCAGGAGAGTGCAGAGACCAAGGAAGAGGAGCTCAAGAGGCAGCAATGCTCCGCAGTGCAGCTGCAAAACAGAGCCAGGAAAGTGAGCTGCAGAAAACCTCAGGCTTGGCGAGGAGGACATGCCTGACGACCTGGGAGAGAACAGTTGCCGTGGCCTGGAAGCCAGATTGCAGGGGGTTAAGGAGTGAGTGGGTGGAGAGGAAGTGGAGGCAGAGGGTGTAGACCACTCCTTCAAGAAATTTGGCAGGGGAGGCCAGGAGAGAAAAAGGTCAGGAATTGGTGGGGGTAGTGCAGTCAAGCAAAGGGTTTCTGCACAGGGAAACTGGAGAGAAGAGCACTGGTGTTGAAGGCAGAGGGACCATTGGCATCAGGGCTCCTCTTTGACACTCGAGTCCCTCTAGTTGAAGGGACAAGGACAGAAGAAAACTTACCAACACGCCAAGGCAGGGTTCCGCTGCTAGGAACAAGGAGGCAGAAGGAAGAAACTGAGGCAGTCTCAAGAGGAGGTGGAGGAAGGGGTCTGGAAGGCAGTGTAGTACAGAGAAGAGGGCAAAACCCTTGCCAACCCTCAGGGGAACGGCCTGGGGCCCAGGGAAGGGGATGTGGGAGATGTGTAACTGGGAGGGAAACAGAAGAGGGGCGAGGCCTGGGATAGGCAAGGGCCCAGGGGGAGGTTCACACGCTGACAAGCACAGAGACAAACTAATTTCCTCGGTGTATCCTGGGGTTGGAGCCAGCTCCCCCGCCACCCTCCTCCCTTTTCCTTCCCTGGCTCCAGAGAAGGGTCTGGGATGTGGAAGAGGAACACGGGAAGAGGGGCCAGTTCCCCATGGTCCTTGGCTCCTCTGACCCTCCTTTCTTCTCTCCTGGGTTCTCTGAACACCTCTGGACCACCCTCGAATCCTTATGGCATAACCACTCTCCATACCCTTGCCACTACTGGTCTGGGTTCTCTGCAGCCCCCTTTCCCTATGACCCCCCTAGGAGGCCCGGCTAGGATGGGAGAGGCAGACAGAGGGAGGCCCATGGGGCCAGAACAGCAGGGCCCCAGGTCTGGGGGCAGAGGCGAGCTGGAACACAGGCATGGAAGGTGGGGCCCCTCCATCCCCACCCAGCCCCGCCCGTGCAAGAGACACCACAACACGGTGTAAACAGAGGAGACTTCCCCGGCCCCCAGGGGGAGGCGGGCGGCTGGGCTGGCAGCCAGTGGGGCAATGGGCCAAGGCGGGTGCGAGGCCTGCCCACATGCCTAGTCCTGGGGCCAGGATGGGGAGGGGGGGGCACCAAGAGGGAAGGGCAGGAGATAGGCAAGACAGGGAGACTGCTTGGAACCAAAGGGTCCCTCATCACCCCATCATTCACCAGGACCCTTTCACCATCAGCATTCTCTTCCCCAACCTCTTTGCTAACTCTTCACTCAGTGCACAGACTAGCAGGATACTCACGTAGGTCCCCGCCAAGCTGCGGAGTTGGTGTTCCAGGTAGCGGGTGAGGTCATAGGTTTTCTGGATGGAGGGGCCAGGCCCTGGGTCCCCTGTTCGATTGAGAGCTGGCACTGCAGGAAGGTGCCAGAGCACCGTGCATAGGCAAGCTAACATCCCCCACGAGTCCCCTGTGGACAGGATGGGCAAGAAGTATGAGGGTGGGCCCAGGCCCAAGTGGGAAAACAGCTGGCAGCCCCTCAGGTGTCTGTCCCCACCTTGGGCTGTGGGGGGGGGGGCGAGGGTGAGGCACCAGATGGGAGGCGGAGGGGAGGGAGGGATGGAAATGCTCCCGATTCAAGAGTGAGTGTGTGTGTGTGTGTGTGTAGGCATGCGTGTGTGTATAAAGACAAGGACCCAGCATTTGTGTCTATCAGTAGATACCTGAGTGTGTTATCTATCAGCTGAGAAAGTCTTTGGTATATGTGTACATGTGAACAGGTGTGTGTGCATATACATGATGGGGTATGTGCTGGGGTTCCAGTTGCACCCCAGTTTCTTCTCCTAGTCTTCCAGTCCTACTGCAGCCTGAAGAGAGCTACAGGGATGGGAAATGACACATGTCAGCACTGGTAAGCTCTGAGCAGTCATCCTGAGAGAGGGGTGAGGAGAGAGGCTGCAACCATGGAGGGAGAGGTAGGGTTAGACCCCCAAGTCAGGATGAAGGACCTGGGCTGGCTAGAGAGTCAGTGGTGGGTAGGATATGGTTCTTTGATGTGGGAACCATAAAGTGGAGTTAGATTGAATGAGAGTTAGGATTCCCCTCAGAGACTAGTGCCCATGTGGAAATCTTCCCCGTTCTTATCTGAAGTGTTGGAGGGGGGCATCAAGGGGAGAGATATGTGTTTAATGAGCTGGGCTGGTCTGTTGACAATGCTGCAGGGTTTGGACATCTCGGAAGGCCATACGCAACTGGAAAACATACTTTTCTGGACTTTTCAGTGAGGTCCAAGATCAGGATTCAGCGAACATTTGGGCTAGGATAGGGAAGGGACACGCTTGGCATTGGGCTAGCTTAGGTTTAAGGACAAGGTTACTTTTAACGTTTCAGATTAGTTTAGACTTGGGATTTGGTTAATTGAGTGTGGTTGAGGTTTGAGTCCAGCAGGGAGATGTGGTTAGGTTTGGGCAGGAAGGAGGTTAGCTGGGGCTAAGGTTTGTGAATTTGTTGATTTACATGTCAGATGGGGCAATGTTTGGCATGTCACAAAGAGTAGGGCTAGTTTGGGTTTTAAGCTTGGATAGGTATGAGGTCAAGTGGTTTCTTTCCTCTAGTATATTTTATACTTCCAAAATTTTCTATAATGATATGTTTTTTACATAGTAGAAACCAGTTGGATAGGTTTAACGATTTGACTGTACTTAGGATCAGGACTGGGTTTGGAGTTAAGAAAGAAGCCTAAATTAGGTTTAGAGTTTGTCATGATGCTCTGTCTCTAGGGCTGTAGAGAGGTCACTGTCCAGAACAGTATAAAATGCCTCACAGAGTACAGACAGGGGCAGCTGGGGACTCTCACAGTGGCCCACTCCTCAGTATGAACTGCCAGATGCCTCACTTTCTGGCTTTACTGGTGAAGTGTGGAAACAGAAGGGTCACCTATCATAGGGCCTTGTCCTTGGTTTGAGGATATGGACAATGTGTTTTAGGATAAAGAGCAGGGTCAGGCACAGACTACTCCCTGGATAAGGCTCTGCTTTCCTCTCCCATGTTTCAGCCTGTGCCTTCAGGATGGAGTCTGGCCTTGCTGGAAGTTAACTGCAATGCCAAGGTCCTGCTGAAGCACGAATTAGGAGCTTGGCTGGCCTCTTCGCCCTGCCCGGCTTTGGGCAGCCCTGTCAGCCAGAGTCCTGGGAGCAGGCTCTGTCCCATGTGGGAGGTGTGGTCAGGAGCCCAACCCTGAGCCTGTTTCCCTCTCCCCTCCTGGGCCCTGTGGGACATCCCCGGGGGTGGGGGAACCAGCTCCCTACATAGGGACAGCAGAGGGAAAAGCCTTTGGATAAACAAGAGCTAAGTCATCTGGGCAGAAAAACGGCTCATGAAATTAACCAGACAAGGCCGGTGTTTCCAGGAATATTTCAGTTCTGAGGTAACTGTGTCACTGCAGGCTTGGGGGGGGCGGCGGGCAGGGGAGAGCAGAAGGAACGACTGACCAGCCCTGGAGAGAAGCAGAAAGAGGGAAGGAGTAGCAGGAATTAGAGAGAGAAGAAGCTACAAGAGCAGAGAGAGCAGGTCAAAGAACAGGGCTCTACCTTCTATTACTATAGCTTCTATGCTGGGCAGGAGGTGCCCATATCTCAGGCAGCAAAGCAGAAAGTGCCTGGGCTAAGAACACCTGAGTTCTGTGTGAGCACAGAAGCCCAGCACAGTTTGGGCTCCCCTGTGTCCTTGGTAGCAGTGTTTGTTGGGCCTCCTAGAGCCCTCAACCGCCACCCTCCTCTACAATTCATGGTGTACAGGTGGATCCCGCCATGGGACCATGTCCTGGGCCCCCTTCCCCAGTTCTGGCCCCCAGCCCACAGGGCCCCAGCCCTGCCTCTGGCTGCTGCCCACTGATTGTTTACATCCCGTCTTCTCCTTGTGTTTATAAATCCGGCTGAGCACGTGAGAAGCTAATGAGTGCAGCTCACGTTTCCTTCTGCACCCCCCCCACCCCCCATCCTGGCCCCTGCCCGGCCAGCGCCTAATTCCATCCAGATCCCTGGGCCCTGGGAACCGAGGCCCCCCTCATGAACACACACACACAGTCTTAGCCCATGCAAGCACCAGGGCCACCCTGACACAACTGCACAGGCAGGTAGCCTGTGTCATGTCTTTAGCCAGCTGCCCCTCAGTCCCTGGCCATCCCCACAGGCTGACTGTGCTCAGTGAGGCTGGGAGGCTCAGTGCTGCAGATGTCCTGGATAGTTGGGGAAGAGACTCTGCACCTGGGACTGGGGACTAAGAGCTGTAAGCCCTAAACGTTGGGCCCAGGGGGACATTGTAGCGTACCAGAAGTGGCTGCTGGCTAGGCTAAAAATGGGAGCCAGAAGGAAAGGCCCTGCCCTTAGTCCAGATCAGGGCCAGCAGCTGGGTGACCCTGGAGGAGTCTGTCGAGGACTTAGGTGGGGAGATGGCCTAGGAGATGGTGTGAACACAGTGGTGTGAGATCCAGTGGTGGGACTGTAAGGTGCCTCCTGACCTTCCAGCCCAGAGAAAGGCCCTCAAAAACTCAGTTTTCTCCAAGTTCTGGGATCACCGACTTCTCTCTTCCTTCTCGCCCTTCTGCCCTCTTCCTAGGTTCCTTCCTCTCAGGCTGCTAAGAAGTGGCAGGATGACTGGGGACATAGGGGCCTGGAAATCCAGAGACTTTACCACAGGAACCCATCTGGTGACCATAGGGCTTGTATGAGGTGGTGTCACTCTGCATGCTAAAACCTGTGGGGCTCCATTTCTGCTGTCTCTCTAACATCCCCTCCCTGTCATCTCTTCCAACCCAAGTGACAGAAGAAGAAACCAAAGTCTACTGAAAGAAGCACTGGAGTGGGACAGCCCCTGCCTTGTAAAGTCAGTCACTGGAGTCGGGCTTTGATGAGGGAGAAGCTGCTGGACCGCAAGAGGGCCAGGATGAGGCCAGGGGGGCTGAATGGCTAGGGAAGCTGGAGGCATGGGGAAGCAGTGAAGAGTTCAGGGCCATGTATGGGTGAGCAGGACAGGGTGTTGCTATCAAGAGTGTGCAAGAGGTTGTGGGAGGGGCTGGAGAGAACACAGGAGCCAGGGTGTGAACAGGCAGGTGGGACTGTGGGGAGGAATGTGAAGTGTCAGGAATCAGAAGTAGCGTGAGGGGGGTGGGCCTGCAGAAGTGTGAATGGGATGGAGTGCCCTCTGTGGTGGAGGGGAGGGGGAGCCATTACTGTGGACAGGTGTAGACACTTCTGGGGCTGCCCAGGGACAACTGCTGCCATCTCTGCCTGTTTCCTCCCCTGGCTGATGTGGGGTTCCAGGGCAGCCAGTGTGTCTGAGCTGGTGGGGGGAGCACATCTGGTTCGGTAGGAGACTGTGAACCTGTGTTCTTGGGAAGAGGTAGGGTGTGCTGAAGCCAGTGTGGAGGTCTGTCGGGAGTAGTGAAAGCAGGGATGTCCTTGGGTTAAGGTCTCAGTCCCCCACCTTCTAGCCTCATCCCAAGGCCCAGACTGCCCTGCCATGCCCCCACTGTCTGCCTCCCCTTTCTCTCCGGGCCTCTGGAGGACGGGAAGGGGGGGCGGTCCTGGAGCCCCAGTGGAGTTTCTGGAGAGGAAGGCGGGGAGAACAGGAATGAGAGGACTCTAGTGAGGCCACCCGAACTTGGGGTTTGCTTGAGGGGTTCAGCTCCGGGAACCGTGCGGCGGTGGCCACTCGCTGGCTATCCCTCCTCGGTAGTGACCTCTCGCTCCCGGACCCCTCCCGGCGGCGTTGGCGCCTTCCCCTTGTGTGGCCCCGGCGCCCCCGGCCCCGCCCCCCGTCCACTCCCGCCCGGTCGCTCCCTTCCCGGCGGCGGGGGCGGGGGCGGGGTCCGGGGCGCCCGGCTCCGGGGCTCGGCCCGGCCGCTGCCCGTTCCCGCGCGTCAACTCCCTGCCCTGCCCTCTCTCCTCCCGCGGGCCACCGCGCCGAGCGGCCGCGGCTCCCCGACCGGTGACGGACTTTTTTCCCTGCTGGGTCCGGTCGGACTGCGCCCCCCCCCCAGCCCGCAGTAATCACTCCCAGGCCACTTCGGGCCGGACCGGGGGCGGGGGGAGCTCGCTGCCGCCGGCAGTGCCACCGCCGACCCCTACCTGCCGCCGGCTCCTGGGCCGTGGGCAGCAAGGAGGGCTCCGGCCGCGCTGCGCACAGCGAGGAGGCTGCGAGTCCCGCGCCCGGCCCGGCCCGGCCCGGCCCGGCCCAGCCCAGCCCAGCCAGGCTCGCTCTGCCCTCCGCCCTCCTCTCCGCTCGTCTCGCCCGCCCTCCTCCCCCCTCCCGCCTTCCCCTCCCGGCGGGCCGGGAAGGGAGAGCGGCGCTGCCCGAGGTGTCGGCCTCCCCTCGCCTCCCGCCGGCCCGGCCTCGGGCTCCCCCTCTGCCTCGCTCCCTCCCTCTTCCTCTCCCCGGCCCCCTCCTCCCCTCGCGCCGCGTCCCCCCCCCACGCAACCTCGCTCCCCGCCTCGGACTCGCGCGCCCCGACTTTTGCGCGGGGCTCTCTGTCGGCGGGATCCCCGGGACCCCGCCTCGCTGGGGGCTCCAGGTGGCCGCCTCGCAGGTCTGCGGGCCGTCCAGGCTCCCCGCCGCGCTGCTGGCCACCTCCTGGCCCCTCCGAGCGGACTCCAGGAATGCCGCGTCCCCGCCCGGCCCCTCTCGAGGGCGCCCAGCCGTGCCTCCCCCGGCCCGAGCCCTGCTCCCCGGCCGGGCCCCGGCGTGGGGCTCCCAGGGTGGGGGGAGGACGGGAACCGGATCTCGCGGCTGCGGGGCGGGGGCGGGGGCCGGGGCCTCGGATGCCTGGCTCCTACCTGCTCGGAGGTCCATGGGGCTGGGGGCCGGGCCGGCCGGGCGCGGCTCCTCTCCCAGAGGCTTGGCGGAGTGGGAGGGCGAGCCGCGGCTCCGGCGAAGCTTTAATAATCCCATCCGCCAGGCCCACTCGCAGGTTTTTTTCGCTCGGTTTCGGATTTTTTTTTTTTTTTTTTTTCGGTGTGGGACATTCTGCAAACTTTTTTTTTTCTGACGTGTAAAGCTGTAACCACAAATTGTAGCAGCCCTCCCCGGGGTGGGGGGAGGAGGGGGGAGGAGGGAAGGGAGGGCTTCTGGGGCTCCTCTCCCTCCCACAACACTGAGGGGGGGGTGAGGTGAGGCGAGGCTGCGACGGTACCACCCTGGGCCTCCTGGGGGAGGGGGCAGGGAAGGCATCAGTCCGTCTGCAGCCTCCTGAGAGCCAGGAGAGAGAGCTGGGCTTGATGTGGGCTTCTCCTTCCGTGTCGGCCTGGGAACTCCTGCCTCATGCCCTCTGCCCCTTGCCCCCTGACTTGGGGTCCCTGTGCCCACCCTACCTCTGCCTCTTCATGCTTAACCTTCCCTCCCCCTCCCCTTTGAGTAAATGCAATGACACATTCTCCCAAATGCCAGCGAGCTGGCCTCCAAGCAAGTGATGGTGTTTTTCCTGCTGCCCTTTGTCTGGGCTGACCGCCCCCCTTGCCTATTGTCCCGCCACTTGTCCCATTTCCAAAAGCTAGAGCTAAGTGAGGCGCCAGGGGCTGGGGCAGGTGACTAACCAGCTCACAATGCCCCCTGCGGGGGGAGGAAGAGGGCATCAAGGCCCACTGCCCAGCTTCTCCCTCAAGTTCACAAGGTTCTTCATTCTTCCCAGTGACCAGGGAAAGTGCCCATGGGTGGGGGATTTGTAACTCATTAATCAGCACAAGGCACCGGACCAGTTTCAACACCAGAGGCTTCGGGTGACTCAGCGAGAATGAGCCCATTCAAGGCCATGGACAGAGGAGCGTCCCGTCCCGTTTGTGAAATGCTTCCCCATCAAGACATTTGGCATCCTCTTTCCTTTGGGGTTTTGGGTTGTTGGTTTTTCCGGTGGTGAGGTAGGGGTGGTTTGGCTGGGAGAATTCTCCCTCCTTCCCCTCAGGCCTGGGTTGGGACTTGCTGGTTGGAAGACCTAGGGGACCCATAAGCCTAGACCATCCCTGGAGGGTCTCCTTTCCTCCCCCTTCCTCCCTCTCCAAAGAGCTGCCAGGGAGAGCAGGAGAGCGCAGAGGAAACAGCTGTCATGCGGGGTTTGTAGACAGCCCCACTTTGTGATTTTTCTTGGGGGAACAGTCATTTGTCCATAAGCCTTGGGTGCTCTAGAAGCATACCACCAATTAAATCACCAATTAATAAGCTGCTTTGTTCTTATTTATCTGTTGTTTCAAAAAGGGGAGAAGCTGGTGGTGGCCAGACCTGGAAGGTGATGCCTCTCCCTGATGGTGCAGATACTTTTCTTCCCCACTCCTGTGGTGCCCTGGGAAAGGAGGGCACTCTGCCAGTCCACCACAGCCCCTCTGGCCTAGGGGTCAGAGCAGGCATCATGGTCATGGCCAGTACCAGGTCCCAGGGTAGCTCTTCCCTTTTCTGCACTGGAGAACTGAGGTGGGGGGGGTGGGGGGGTGGGGAAGAAGTTTGTTTTCAATTACCTCACTGGAGTGGGACAGACTTTGTTGTTGGGTTGTTTCTTTTTCTTTCTTTTTTTTTTTTTATCCTCTTTCTTTTCTCTCTTCTTTCCCCCCCCCTTTTTTTTTTTTTTTCCTAAACAAGGAGAAAAAGAGCTGGAAATGGAGAGCTGGCCTGGGTGGGGGGCAGGGGACTCTGGAGCATCAGTAGCAGCTCTCATGAAAAGTGCCTCTGAGGGACCCTTGTGAAAAGTGCTCAAGGTTTCCCTACCCCTACCCCTCCCCACCCCCCACCAGCCAGGACTCTGGAGTTTCTATGACATTCTTGCCAGTGAGCCCAACAATCTTTTGATGCTTATGCCAAGGTCAAGAAGGCATCTAGATACCTGGGAATGATGGACACTGGTTTACCAGGAGGTCTCCCTAGCATCTACCCTTTCTAAGGGAGGAAGTCAGGAAGGGAAAGGGAGCAGGAGGGGAGCAGTTTGCTCCTGAAGGAGAAGCTGCACAGACAATGTGGTTTGGATTTGGCTGAGCCCCTCAGCACCTTATAAAGCACCTTGCTGAGTCAGGAGAAAGCAGCCCCAGTGCAGAGAGGAGAAGGAGGGGGCCTGGAGAGAAAGAGGCAGGGGGGCTAAAAAGCAGGGAGGGTGGGGGGAAAGGGAAGTGGAGTGAGAAAGAAGGGACCCGGGAAAGGAAAGAGGAAACACAAAGAGGCAAATGGGTGGGAATGAGAAAGCAAAGAGGAGGCTGGAGCTGAAGGAGCAAGATGGGAACTGGAGAGGAAGAGCAATGGATTCTGCTGGGAGGGTCCTAGAATGCTGCTCAACCCTGCCACAGCAAGGTCCACTTGGGGAGTCTCCATGGCATGGATTTGCATGAATTGAGGGTGGCACTCCCAGAGGACCCGGGCCAGGTGGAGGCAGGGCAATTGACTTTATACAACAGCTCTTGGGCTCCCAGTTTACCTTTGATTCTTAATGTAGTGACCCCACAAGCTGGGAAAGTCACTTTCTCCCTGGGCCTCTTGTCTGTACTTGCCTCCCTGCCCTCTCCCCTCACCATTGGGGGCCAAGCTTCTCCCTTCCCCCTTTCTCACACTGCCAAAGGGAAAATCAACTCCATCTCCAAGCTGCCAGTGCCCCTCTGCCATGTCTGGGCAAAGGCAGCAGGCTAGGAGCTGCCAGTTGGGGTGGGGTGGGGGCTAAAGATTGTGTCTTACCCTGCCAAATCCCCAGTGGGGGTGGGCTGTTGGAATTTGGGGGAGGAGGAAAAGAGAGTGGAGCAGCAACAGCCCCTCCAGGGTTTCTGTGAGACAGGTAGCTGTCCTGTGATCTAACTGGGGCAGCTCTGCTACCCACACCCCCCTCTTCCCAGGTGACTCTCAGAGACTGCCTTCCAGCTCCAACAATCTGGGCAGGGGTTGGAGGGGACACTGCCCCCTAGCTCCAGATGAGCATCCTGAGGAAGAGAAAAGTCCCATCTGGTCCATGGGATCCTGGGTGGTTCTTTCTCAGCCTCTACTGGGTGCTAGGTCCTGTAAAAGAGAGCACAGGAAAAACCTAGCCCTGCCTTCAGGAATTGGGACACACATTAAATGTTGGCAATGGCCACAGGTGGTAATGGGTGCCTTTAGGGTCCAGGAGGCTTGTGAGAGAAGAACAACTTTTGATGGAGGTGTGTGGAGGGGGGTGGGGCTTCAGGGTAGAGATGTGGCAGGCTGAGCAGGGAGAGTCCCCAGCATCCACATAGCTCCCTGCAGCAGGCAGAGAGCAAGACTGGGAGTCAGGACATCTGGCTAGTGTGGACAAGGTTGTTGCCTCTCTGTAGAAGTGAGTATGAGCACCTTTGCCTCCTCTCCATAGGATGGTGAGAGAATTCAGTGGGCTGATGAAGGGGACATGAGTTTGCCAGAGGAGGAATTCCTGCAGGCCACAGATGGTTGGCAGGTCAGGCCCCAACTCCCTCCTCAAGGTGGGAGTTGGGGGGGAGGGGCAGATCTGCCACCAAGTGTTGACTGAACTGCTCTTCAATGAGTAGCGATGAGTCAGTGTTGGCTCAGGGACTAGCTGGTGTGCCTCTCTTCTTCCCGCATAACTGACATCCCCAGAGGGTCTCCCAGGTGCCCCCAAACACTATGTCCCACATAGCTACAGAATTGGCATTGAAGGGACCCTGCCTAGGGAGGGCCCAGATTCCTGAGCTAGGGCAAGTCTCTAGTCTGGTCCCCTCCTGAAAGGTGATCATGATGGTGGGGTTGGACAAGCCTATAGAGGGGAGTAGGGACATTAACTAGTTCATTCATTTGCTCACAAGACACTCTCTGTGCTTCCTCCATGCCGGATGCTGGCGACACAGAGAAGAGCCTGCAGGGACCATGGGTGGAGAGATGGAGGCTGACCTGGGTGGAGGCAGGCCAGGCAGGAGCCACAAGCAACTCTCCAGCCTGATGCCAGGTGGGCATTTCCCACTGGAGGTTACTTCACTAAATGCTGACAATGGCTTAAGTGTGCTGAGTTCCTCCCTGCAGCAGAGCAGCCCGGCCAGGTGCTGAGGCTATCCGGATCCCACTTCACCTCATCTTTGCAAGACCTTTAGGAGGGAGAAAGTATCATTTCTTCATTTTACACGAGGAGACTGAGGCTTGGTTAGATGAAGTCACTATTTCAGGTCACACAATCGTGTAAGTAGCAGAACTAAGGGAACTAACACTGTCTGACTTCACTGATAGGTCGTGTTTTTCTTTTTCTTTGTGCAACATGTCCTTTTAACTACACCACACAGGTGCCAGCCTGAGGGAGCCACCATGGAGGGACTCAGAAGATGCCGGGTCTCAGAGCAGACTTCATCATGCAAGATTTCGCTGAATGCCCCCTGGCTATGAGGCACGTGACCATGGGCGCAGCTGGTCCTTCAGGACACCAGGGTGGGACATATAAGAGAGTGCTCAAGAGCCTGGGGAGTGCTGACCCCCAGCAGAGGGAGATCTGGCTCTCATGTCCACCACTGATATGAGCTGGACCAGGTACCCTCACATTACCCTCCTGAGTTGGTGAAAGGCCAGACCCCAAGAGTGCTGGAGAGCCCAGCTAGAATTCCAGATTCCATTAGCAGAGAGTTTCGAACTACAGAACGAGCATTAAACTGGGAGTTCGATGGCCACCCAACCACAGAAGCAGGCCAAGGGATTCTTTCTGCTTCTTGAGGGCCAACAATCTGGCCCTCAAAGTGAGACCATAGGTTCCCTCAGAGACCTGGCCCAGGATATCCTCTGAGACTCTGCATGCACGCACACTGCAGCGTTCATGTGCAGCCCAGGGACTCAGGGCAGGGTGGAAGGAGAGGCGGGAGAGTGGGCACTTTCCCTTTCCCTCCAGTGCACATGAGCCCGCAGGGCCCTGCCTCACCCTGAGCTGGCCCTGATCTCAGCGGAAACCCCAGGGGCAGAGGGCTCCTCTTAGCTCAGCAACAGCCCT